TGGAGGTTTGTGGCATAGTGATGCAGCTAGATAATTTTAGCCTTTTGGATTAAAGGTCTTATGGGGAGCTGGGGGGCCACCAGGGGCCCATTGGAAGATGGCCGACAATACCATCTCTCCCGCTCACACGAGGTAATTAAGAGGCTGATATGGGAGTATGCGGCCTCCCTTGTTGCCCCAAGGACATGGGGAACACTGCCTTGCCTGCTGTGGCCATAAATCACCCCCGGATTCAAAAGAAGGGGGTGAGGGCACTAGGCACAAAGCCCTTGTGTGGGTCCGGCTCTCCCGGACGCTGTCTCTGCAGCAGCTCGAAATAAACATTTAGAAAAGAAGCAAATGCACATATTTCAAGTGAAAAACAGGAGTGAAGACTGCTAATTGAAGTGACCTCTGTGAAAGTAGAGCGACGGGTTGGATTTAACGGAATATATCATGAAGAAGATACATCAAAGGTTCACTATGTCGGAGCAGGACTGAATGGGGGGGGGAAACTTTTTTCTTTTCTTCTATGTGATTAACCAATAATCCCTCCCCAAGAAAGAACCGTCGCATAACTGACCTAAGCAGGATGATTAAAAACTGTGTGGAAATGATTTACTAACCAAAAGTTTGGCTTATGGAGATCGAGAAAAGAACAAGGGCTTTTGATGACGCAGCAATAAAAAGGGAGTCGCCATCTTGGCAGGTCCTGTCGAAAGATGGATGATCGGGAGGAGGAAGCTTTGTTTTCATATTGGATTCCTGGCAGAACCTCCTCAGAGGACTGAGAAAGGGAGTGACAGACCTGTGAAAATTTAACAAGTAGACGGCAAGAGTGTGTTTTTTTTATGGAAGCGATGAAATACGGTAGCCGTCTGAATATGACTCTTGGACGAATGGAAAAATCCACACAGGATTACAAATTTGTTTCAACCTGCTTGTGGAGACTATCAGAGGTCACAAAGACAAAGAGAAAGGAAAAATATATGAAAATAACAAGAAGAGATGTGGAAAACAACAAGAAAGGATTGGATAGAATTGGGAACATTATTTGGACAGATTTGTGGACATTAAAGCAGCAGCAACAAGAGGATTGGATCCCTTTCGGAACTTGAAATATGGGTACCCCCAACAAAAAAATTTAAAATTCGGCTTTGTAATTTGTAATTTATGTGATTTGATTGGTCTGTTAATAAAAATTATTTTTTTAAAAAAAAGGTCTTATGGGGAGCCAGCCACCTTCCTTAAAATGGTAATACCACACTTCAAAATGTGGTAAGCCAGCCCTGCTATGTTAAGTGCTCCTCCTCATTTTGATGAAGAGGGCCCTAAAGTCCTACCCTGACAGCACCACTGTATGGCGTTTTGTAATGTTTGAATTTATTTACAAATATACAGATTGAGTATACAGTGGTGCCCCGCAAGACGAACGCCTCACAAGATGGAAAACCCGCTAGACGAAAGGGTTTTCCGTCGCGGAGGTGCTCCGCAAAACGAATTTCCCTATAGGCTTGCTTCGCAAGAAGAAAGCCCATAGGGAAATCTCCGGGGACCTCTTTTAAAATGCTGGCGGTCGGGAGCAAAGACTTTCACCCACCGCCGGCCTTCAGAAGAGGTCCTGGACCTCTTCTGAAGGCTGGCGGGGGGCAAAGGTCTTTGCTCCCGACCGCCTGCCTTCCCGGGATAGCGGAGAAGCGCAGTGCGTTTCTCCACTATCCCGACGGCTTTTGAAGGCAGGCGGGGGGGAGCAAAGACTTTCGCCCACCGCCGGCCTTCAGAAGAGGTCCTGGACCTCTTCTGAAGGCCGGCGGGGGGCAAAAGTCTTTGCTCCCCCCCGCCTGCCTTCCCGGGACAGCGGAGACTTCGCTGCCGCCCGCCAGCATTTTAAAATCGCCCCGGGACAGCGGAGGCTTCGCTGCCGCCCGCCAGCATTTTAAAATTGCCCCGGGACAGCGGAGAAGTCTCCGCTGTCCCGGGGGCTTTTAAAATGCTGGCGGTCGGCAACAAAGCCCTCCTGTCCCCGGAGCTTGCGGGGCGGGAGGTGGGGAGAAGGGCTTTTCTTCCCACCGCCAGCCTTCAGAACAGCCTTCTGAAGGCTGGCGGTGGGAAGAAAAGCCCTTGTCCCCCCCCAGCCTTCAGAAGAGGTCGGGGGACAGACTGTCCCCGGACCTGGTCTGAAGGCGGTTTCCATAGGAACGCATTGATTGATTTTCAATGCATTCCTATGGGAAACCGTGCTTCGCAAGACAAAAAACTCGCAAGAAGAAAAAACTCGCAGAACGAATTAATTTCGTCTTGCGGGGGTACCACTGTAGGTGGAGGCATGCTTAACACTTCAACAAGCAGCATATCCACTGTCCCACCTCGGCTCTCCAGAAAGCCAGACCCTCAAAGGGCAGGAAGAGAGCAAACTCTGGAAAGTGCCTCTCTCTGAAGATTCCTAACACCTCTGACTTGGGAATGGGAGTAGGGATCAGTTGTGAGGTTCAGTTACTTATAAGCTCCTTGCAGTTACTTATGTGTTTTAGACTTTCATTGGAAGCGTGGCTAGGGGGACTATTACAGTTCACTCCAGCACATCAGCATTTACTCCTGCACTTCTGTATATGATAATGTCCATTTCTTTCTCTGTGTCACTCTAATTGCTCACTAAAAAGTTTCCAGTGGTGAAAGAACTTTGAAATATGACCTATAATGGGTAGCTGGAGGGAGATGCTCTTGGGTTCTGAACAAATGGATAAAAGGAGAAAGGGCCAAGAGACATGGACCAAGCCCTGTGTGTGGAAGAGAGGGTCCTGGGGATAGAGGCTGAATCAGATGCCTGCGAAGAGCAGAGGAAGTGTTGCATTAGCTACCTTATCATAGTGCAGAGACCAGTACCACTCTCCTGGTCAACCCCACCTGGTACAGAGAAGACATCACCCTAGAGAAGGTGGCGTAATGAAGTTAGAGCTTCTAGGAACAGCAGGATTCTGAGATTCCTGGCAAATCTCATAGGCTATGTCTACAAGGAATTCCCTTTTGGGTCTGATTTTTGTATAAGGGTAAGTCACCCAGCATGAGGGCAGTACTGGTCCTTACCCTGAGTTCAAGAAGCAGGCTCAAGGAAAAATGTGAGGGAACAGCTCTGGACAGACAAGTGAGGGGGGGGAAGGCAACACTCTGGAAACCACCTTGTGCTTGATAAGAAGCTGTTAATCAAACCTTGGTCCCATGTAGAGTTTGGGATGAATACTGTGGGTTTTGAGGCCACCCTTACACTAGCATTTCCACAACTCCTACCTTCTAGCACAATACAAGATTTCTCTGCCAACTGATCCTGGAGAGAAAACTGTTCTCCAACATCTCATTCCTGTGCTTAGCATGAAAGCAAACTTGCTTCTTAATTCCATGGTGGTCTGACTCCTTCTCTGTGCTAATGTCCTGCATTGCATAAATTACTTTTCAGGATACACTGCTTCATTCACTGTGTTTTACAGGCTACTATCCAGTTCTTTTTCCTGCATCATGGTTTTCAGTGCCAACATGATAAGCTGCAAAAGACTTGCCCTTCTATATTTTCTTCTTAAGCAAACAGTTATTTCTTCTTTTCCAGTCCCATTCCTTACCATGTAGCCACCTGGCCCCATGGCTCCCAAAAGAACTATAGTGAGTAACCCAACTATCAATTAATTCAACAAACTCCAATGTAAGATTTTATCATAGCTTGCTTTAAATCGATTTCCCCAGCGTGGCCAACTCTAAGGCGAGTCTCTATAGCTGATTTGCATAAATAGAAGTATATATCTCTGGCTGTTGTCTCTAAAGAGGTTCCTCAAAGTACAAGCCCCACAAATGCCAGAGTTTCCAACCTCCTTAGAGTAAACCAACGAGGCAGGTAGTGATTTCAGTTTAAATCAGAAACACACATGGTTTCAATTTGGAAGACTAATCTTGAAGAATGTTATATACCCTATGCTATCACAAAACAGCACACACAACTTTTTCACCCATAGGTAACAAAAGGTGTAATATTTGTTCACCAGAGACAAATTTTACAACATTTATTTACAGATCCAATGACAGTCCAACTATCTGTTTGATTTGATTCCTATCAAGCTAGTTTCATTGACCCATAGATGCATGTAGGTTATGCCACCTAAGGTTATATCTGTAGCAGTACAACTCTTACTGTAACATATAAATATGTCAGGCTGATATAAAATATAGATCTATGCACAACACACAGCCAGTTCATTCATTGCTAAGGTGAAACTAGCAAGTCCCTAATTCATAGCTTTAACACGAACGGTAAAAGACCCTTCTCTAGAGGAAGTGCACTAGGCTCTAACTTTTTGTCTGCTTGCTAGTTACCGAGATATGCCTTTCAGAAGCACATTGAAGGAAGAGCATCACATAGCATGGCCAGAGAAGCAGATGGTTCACAGGACTGGTTGTTAAATTGCGCACATGTGCAGCAAGAACTATTTTGCACACTGTGTAATGAAACTGCCACCCACTACCTCTTCTTATAAAAGGTGAAGAAGTCCATGTACTCACTGTGTGCCAAAGGAGGAAATTACTGAAAAGGTGAAAGATGTCCCAGTTACAGAATTCAGCAGATCTGTGCTAGCTCAGAATCCGATTCCTTTTTACAAAGCACTTGGCCCATTATATGGATGTCAGCACTACTTGTTTAAGTGTCAGTGAACTTACACAGAGAAACATTCTCAAAGAGGGGGCCACCCCAAACACCAGGAAAAACACAGCAGGCAAACCTGTTAATGTGCAGCAATTATTTATAAGTAATTCTTCTGGTCTTTGGGGAATGCATGGTGGTTTCCTTCTGCTGGCTGGGATGGTAAATTATTGCTTCTAGACTTTTATGAATTTAATAAATAATAATGCATATTTACACTAGAGGGAGCAATAGCATCGTCACTTACTTATTGCTGCTTAGCTACAAGTCAGTTGCATGGCAACCTTGCAAAGTGGGGGATATATAAAAGAACAATCCAGATTAAATGGTTTGGTCTTTTATGTTGCAAAGTTACCCTAATGATTTATGTTAACTATTAGTAGAGCATATTGTTGAATACAAAGCTGAATCTGCTTTGTACGGAGTACAGTCTTGGCAAACACTGCTTGATTGGCTGCTCAGAAGATTCTCTCTCCCCCTCCCCACCTCTGTAAAGAATTTCTACAAGGGCATTTTGGGTTGTTTTGTGCCCCCCCACCCCCGGAATGATTGCAAAGTGGATGTGGTTCAGGGAAACCAACCTTTAATGGCAGAGATTTTTAAAGACTGAAGCTGATGAAAATATCAGAGGATGGGTAAGTCAACTTGATCTTTATTTGGGAATGGAGGGAGACTTTGCCCCACATGCCAAGTTCCTGTGGGTAGTTTCTTCCTTAAGGCTGCAATTGTAACCCCGCTTACCTGAGAGTAAGACCCACTGAATTCAATCAGACTTACTTCTGAGTGGACATGGTGAGAGGATTGCACTGTGAGATATTTTCTCCTGTTTAACCTCTGTGCTGCATTTTGAAAGTTTCCTCATACGGAGTTACCGTATACCAAAGGGGATTTGACTGTCATATATTTCATAGTTATATAGAAGCTGGATTCTTGACGGGTGCCACTTATCCTGCAGAGGTGAGAAGAACCACAGCTGCTGATACTCTCCTTTTGCCTGATGATTAAAATATAGGAACCTCTTTTTCCACCTTGGCATCTTATCTTCATAGCAGCTCACTGTCCAATGGCCACAGACTCTTAAAGTCTGTTTCTCTGGCACATTTTGGAATCTTTAAAACTTCAGCTATGATGAGTGTTAGAAAATGCTTTAATGTGTTGTAAAGGACCATCTTTCAGAATATCCTAATCTAAACAGAATATCCTAGCTTTAAAAAAAATGAGCCTGAGGGATAGTTTCTGAGGGCCTGTTACATAGAAACATAAGCTGTTTTATATGCTACCAGATCTGATTATTTGTTCATCACTAGCCCAGTTTTGTCTGCTGTGGGTGGCGGAAGTCTGTCACATCACCTGCCACCTAGTTATTTTCTTAATTGGAGGAATTGCCAGGGATTGAATGTAGGACTTTCTGCTAGCAAAGCAGATAGTCTCTTATTGAGCTACAGCCCCTTTGTCCACTGGGCAGTGAGTTGATAAGTGATAAAGTGACCAGACTCTTAACAGTGCAGTCCTGTGCAGGTCTACTCGAAAGTAAGCTCCATTGCACTTCGTGGGATTTTCTCCCATGTAAGTCAAAATAAGAAGGAAATAACCCTCAGTTATGTGGTCAAACCTGTTAATTTGTCCAGCCATTCGTATAATTTTAGTGGATAATTAACACACACTCAAAACAACCTTTTTATTTTTAAAATAGTAGCATTGGCTTTTACAAAGTAATCATTTTTACTAGTGTACATTAACACTCAGCAAACTGATGAGCATCTACAAATAATGGTAAGAATTGCTTAGGCAGGTGTTTAATTGGAAGTTGCATGGGTAATGTTTCATATCAGGCAGTTTTAGTCCTAGAATCCACCTGGGCCTTACTAATTTAATCAAGTTACATAAAAAGATGTATAAACTAGCTGTAGTTCTCTGCCTCATGGCGTTGCCCTTTTTCCGAGTGCTGAACAGGCTGTTCATCTGATTGTAAGATTGCTGCATTCAAACCTGAATAACGTTCTTATAACTTTAAATCTCCCAAGGCAGCCATGACTTCTGCTGCCTGTTCCCATCCTAGATCATTTCCCCCTCCCCCTACCTCCTTTGAAGCACACCTGGAGTCAGATCGGGTGAAGGGATTGAGATGATAGGACTGATGAAGGAATGGGGTGGGAGAAGCCACAGCTGTCTTGTCTCCCAATGTACCAAGAGATTTTAAGGTAAATCTCATTGAGGTAAATGAGCTTTCACTTGGTTGTAGCCTGGCAGCTCAACCTAACTGAAAGAATATTTTTAGAGAATATGGCAAATTCAAATTATACATACACACACACACACACACACACACACAGCTTGAGAGTATTTAGTAAGGTAAATTCTTCTTTTGCTCAAAAAGGTGTTTTGGACCCTAGTAACTTGCTTGAAGCTTCACACTTACTAATTTGGCAATCAAGTTATAATGTCCTCATGCTGAATAGCTCTTATCCAATGAACATGTGTTCCTGGTCATGTTCAGCCAGATTTCTGCTTTTCTTTCAGATTTGTTGTCATTGGAGCCAAAAGCCACATTCCAAGTTATTAGGTATATCCTGTGAAGATCTCGTGCTGTTTAGATTCTGTTGGAAGGTGTTCTTCATTTGCACAGCAATGAATTAATTGGCTCTAATTACTAAAGTAGCAGTCCCTGACCAAAGCTGATTACATCATGAAGGCTGCCTTTGTCTTGAACAATTTAACAAATTAATCATACAGGCAGAAATTCAACTGATCCTGCTTTCCCCCAGCATGGAGATACAATGATAGGGAAAGCTGTACCTATTAACCGTCCACAGTATGCTTCCAATTCATTTTTAAGTGGAGTGCATTGCAATAATCTAAATGAGGAGTTCCAAACCAAATAGCCAGATCTGAGAGGAGGGACCAGATTAGGCTGTCAGAAGGTAATTCTTAGGAGAGTGGATAGCAAGCTTAATGTTTGAGTTAAAACAGAAAGGTGTGTATAGACTTAACAGCAGTTCCATGTACTCCTATTAGTGTTTAAACAGGCATCATTACTTATCTAGAAATGCATATGTGGTAAAAGTACTGGCAGTCCCCTGTATTTAGGCATGGATGTAGAATCTTAATAGGCTACTCACGTTAAAAAATAATTTCCAGAGTAGGAGTTATTTGTTCAAGACGTTTTGGCTGAACTAAATGAATCCCACATTCATGGCTACAAACTTTAGTGTTTTACAAAACCTGCTTGCATGGACAGAGTGGAATGAAAACAAAGTTTATGACATTATGCTGTGTTTTGAAACTGAAAGCTTTGTAAAATCAGCAAAACTTGCACCCTTCTTCAGCAACCTATATTGGTCCTATTTATATAATCACCTCCTTTATATATCCTAGCCTTTAGAAAAGGCGCAGTAACTACAGACTGCTGATTTTAGAAGTGGTTATTTGCTGTTGTACAAGTAAACAAAAAAGGCACCCTTACGTTACTGAATAAAGCTTTTTAAAAAAATAAAATTATGTTTAAAAGGAGGCAAAAGGATTGATAATGGGAATGAATAGCACTCATTAATTCATCTCACTCCCTGAAAAGTTTCCATCAAGTCACTGGAGAGGGTTATAGAATCTGGATTCTAGAGTGGATTGTGGGATCTGCCATGAATTTTACAATTCACTCTATACATCTGCATAAAGGCCTAGTGTGAGAACATAGGAAGTGATCTTAAAATGAGACAGGCTGTCTAACTCAGTATTCTCAAAACCAAAGTCAGCCAATGTGATGCCCTCAAGGTATTGTAAACTACAACTCCTATCATCCCCGGCCAATTGGCTTTATTGACTGGAGGCTAATGGGAGTTGTAGTCCAACATGAAGGACACTGCATTGGCTACATGTGATTGAAACAGGTCCACAGACTTCGAGTAGCATAGATTGAGCTGCATCCCACCACAGGGCTTGAGTAGCAAGAGGCAGTGCTGAGAGACTCCAATTGCTTAATCTGTGGATCACATACTGAAGTCCACCCCCTTCTATTTGTGTTGGACATAGTTCTCTTTTTTCCCTTTCTTCCCTTCCTTGCTATATAAATTCTACCTGTTCTTGCCCATTTCATTAGGTTGTTTGCTGGGCTTCCTCCAAAAGGAAAATGTGGGGGCAGGTGGTCTGACTGGAGACACTTTTTTTTTTTGGTGGGGCAGCAGCATTTTCCCCTCATCCATTTCGCTAATAATTTGAGCTCACAATGTGTAGCTTGCCACCACCACAAGGGCCTTCCGGTGAGGAACATAGGCTTATATAAAAGTAGATAGGGCTTTTGTACTTTTATATCCCTGCCTTGAGGAGAGGCACCATTGTTGGGAGAGAAAGGCAGGATAAAGACTTTTAGAAGAGGGGGGCTTGCAATGTAGGGGTGAGACGAGCTGCAGCTGTTGATATTCTCATCTTGTTTAAGAATGGGCCATCACTAGATCTAAAGCGTCTGCTGATAGTTCCCCAGGCACTGGCCCCATGTAAAATTCCATATATAACTAATGCACAGTGATTATTTGCAAAGATTCCTGCCGGCTTAACATGCATTTTTTTTGCATTGTCGGTTTGGATTTTGAAAATAAATTATAAGCTTAGCAACATTAACTCCATTGGCATTAGGCCAATAAATATATGCGATTTTCTACTATAGGCACCAGGCTGACCTTCTGTGGAAATTGATAATAAAAAGTTAGAATGGAGTAAGCAGTGTGGTGACAAATGTATTCACCCTCCCCTTCATCTAACAATTTCTAGCCTTTCTACTGCAGAAGCATGTTAATAGATTCTACTCTGCACCTATTGCCCTTTCAAAGCTCAAGGTGGCTTGTTCTATACTTTAGGGAGTTTGTCCCAATTTTCTAGTGCTGTATTTTCAAATAGTAGCTGTTCCTTCCTCTTACTGAATTAGTTCTAAAATGAAATCTCTTTCAATCCACTCCTTTGTATGTTTACATAAGACTTACTTCACTCATTGCTCCAAAAGTTAGAATCAGAATGTGGCATTCATTTTCATTTATTTGAATTCATGGTTAAAATATTATTTGCTCATAATTTTTTCCCCTTAAACTGTTCTACACTTTTGTAGTACCAAGACTTTGCTGAAATTTCACCCCCAAAGGAGAGGACTTTCTATTGTCTGAAACCTTCTAAGCGTCCTGCTCTGCTACTGTTTCTTCCCCAGGTGTTCTGTCAACCAGTCAGGACTCATTTACAGAATGTAGTGACATAACAGCAGTCCATAACCAGTGAGATTTGGTTATGTGGTGATGTCACTGAGGCCAGTCAAGCTCAGACTGCTGTGAAGGGGTGTATCCTTGTTGCTAAGGAACTGGAGTGACGCTCCCTGTATATCTGTGCTACTGTGGAACCACCATAGGGTAGCATAGCAGTGCAGTAAGATGCAGAGTAATGTCCCCAGTTGTCTTGGCAACACAGTTACGCTTGTCTTTCTGGCTATGATGGTTTCATTGCAGCATGGCAAGGCAGGAAGTGTTGGTTATAGGAATGCTTCCATGATTCCACGTCCTTTTAAATCCCTCCTCCCCATCTTCACCGAAGACACAGGGTGTTTGAGGGGAGCTGCAAAATGCTTGCAAACTATGTCCTATTTCAGCTCAGCCCTATACTG